AAACTAGTCCTCTCACTGAAAATAAAAACTATAAACTGGACAGAATATACAAGAAAACTTTTTCTTTCTAATTTCTTTCCTGGATCTTTTCATCCATCCATCTATCCATCATTCCAGCAGCCATCCAATAACCATTTATAACTCACCTATACTATAAAGACAATACATAAGGCACTGAGGATATAAAAGTAAATAGTGTACCTTCTCAGCCCTCAAGGAGGTATTGAGGCAATTTGGTGTAGAAAAATTCAATTTAATTCAATTAAAATCAATTGATCATATCTGGCTCTGGGGAGTGTGACTATGAATAAAATATGGGTCTCAAGCAGCTTACAAGCCTAGTGAGGAAGTCAACCCTTAGAAAACTCATAAATGTGATAGGCGTTGAAATGCAAATATTAGACAGATAGAGAATCAAATGCGTGTTCTGTCATATGAAGGCTTCATATTCTGAAGAAGTTTCTCAGCTACTCTAATATTCACTTTTCTTACTTGCAAATCAGGGTATAATAGTATTATGCAGTGCTACTTTGAACATCAGCTAAGATAATATGGATAAGGTACTTATTACATGGCAACTATTTTTAGAACCCTTATGGTAATATTGTCCTTGTGGAGTCACTGTGAGAAGTAAATAGAATAATGGACAGAAGCATTCAGCACATAGAAGGTGTTTGATACTTATTAAGTTTTCTGGTAACTCATTTGACCAGTGTAGGCCTTCAAAGGGAATACTTTAGGAGTCCCATGACCTCCTTAAGATTTTCCCTCCCCACAAGTTTATGCATGCAGTAGTTCAATCGGCTTTCATCTCTGACTCCCGCGTTGTCGTTAACCACTTGACAGCCTAATCCTTATCAGAGTGAGACAAGATCATCGTTCCAACTCCAGGCATGTCAATCCACAGCATTGCTGCCCTGACAGGTAGATTAAGAATATGCTCAGGGGTAGCACATTGCATCTCTGCCCTCAAAAGTAAAGTTATAGAAGGAAGCAGGCATTCATTCACAGAATGGAAATCAGAAAGTGTGTGGTTCTGAATTTCTTTTAAACAAAACAAAGCCTGCCTTTTCAAGTATACCTTCATTCTTTTGTTCATCACGTACAATATCTTATTCATCAAACATTTACTGAGGGTGTACTATATGCTTAAATCTGTGCTAGGTGATGGTGAATCAGAAATGGATGAGGCACTGTCTTAGTTCTCAAGGATCTCAAAACCTAGTAGAAAAGACAGAGAAATGTTAAAATTCACGAAAGTTTTATATGAGAATATACAAGATTCTGACTAGAGCTCCATCTGACCATACTAAGAAAGGCTTCATAGAAGAGGTGACATTTATTTCATTCTCTGCAGAGTCAGTAGGAGTTGAACCTATTTTAATAAACTTTTTGGGGGCAATTGCTATATATTGGCTATATGCTAACTTTTGAGCTACAAAAATTAAATGACACTATTTGAACTACTAAAGGAGCTCAGAGCCTAGTAGCTGATCATGTAGTATGTTTCAGAAGATAGAGATTAGTTATCAAGATGTGTGGGAACATGGCATACAGAGGACTGGTAAATAATTCAGGTTTGGGGGGAATAGAGAGTAGTTGGAGATGAGGTTGGTACCAGATTCAAAGGCTTCAGTACACCACACTGAGACGTAGCAAGACATTTGGACTTTAGTGTTTTAGAAATGGACACCCACAAAGATGTTTACTTTTTAAAGTGGGAGTAAGATAACTATACACTGCTATCCCTATTCCCAAGCGAGAGAAGAATGATCTAGAGCTACTCCTCTAAGTAGAGTTTATGAACCAGCAGCATCAGCATCAGTGGAGCTGCTTTGCATACAGAGTCCCAGGCCCAGCTCAGAGCTACCAATTCAGAATCAGCATATGAACAAGATACCCAATGAACATACGATTCATATGCATGTTGAAGTCTGAGAAGCCCTTGCCTAGGATTTCAAGCAACTAACTCATGGCCACACAGGTGATCAATAATCAGACATGGATTTCCTGACCATCATCCCAATTCTCTTTTCACTTCCATGCCCCTTCCCCAGGTATTTCCATGACCCTCTCATAGGAAGGTGAGTGGGGCAGGATATGCTTGTTCCGGTTATTCGGTACTTGAATAGAGATCGGTTCCTTCTGGAAAGGATAGGCCTGAAGTGGAATCCCGTCCTGGCCAAAAGAGTGTTTGGCAGAAATATTTAGTGTAGTCATATTCTAACATGTAGTAATTATTACCATTTTAATTTATGCATTGTCCCAGCAGGTATTTTGTGCTAAAAAATAGTCTATACTTAAAAAAAATAAATAAATTTTTTGTTTTAATGTAATTCAAGTTATCCTAGTGAGCAGACATTTTTTTCAAAAAGAACTCCAAGCTGCTACATGTGTCAGGGGATCACAATGACAGTGCCAGTGGGGTCGAATGCAGCGATGAGAAGAGAGTTGTAAAGGAACCAATATGAGGGACAGGAAGGCACTAATGAGAAAGACAATGTTTTTGGCAAAAGAAGGTAGGGCTCTCTCAAGTGTCTCAGGGAGCTTGAGAATGGTTGGTGATGGAGAATTAAAAAAAAAAAAAATGTTGCCATGGACTATGTTTTATGATCCACTAAAATGTTGAAGAGTTTAGTAAATATAGTAGTCCCCCTTTATTCATGAGAAATATGTTCCATGATCCCCACTGGATGCCTGAAACTGTGGCTAGTACCAAAGCCTATATATACTATGTTATTTTATATACATATGTGTCTATGATAAAGTTTAATTTATAAATTAGGCATAGTAAGAGATTAATAACAATAATTAACAATAAAATAGAAAATTATAATAATATACTGTAATAAAAGTAATGTGAATATGACTTCTCTCTCTTTGATAACCAAGATGGCTACTAAGTATCTATACTGTATATGCTACTCTATGGAATGATTCACATCCTAGGAAGATAAAGTGGGACAAAGCAAGATTTTATCGCGCTACTCAGAATTTAAATCTTATGAATTATTTCATTCTGGAATTTTCCGTTTAATATTTTCAGACCCCTACCATGAATAAAAGGGATCTACTGTATTGGAATTTCTGTTCAGGGTTGATTTTTTTTACATATGCTGACACTCCAGCACTGAGCCAGGAATTTTTGGTTTATACAGAACTTTAAGAAAAAAATAACGCACTACTAAGGCTCTTACTTGAACTTGAGGATAGTTTGTAAGAATGCCCCTCTCCTCAATAAACCATGCCTTTCAGTATTCATGTCCTGAACAGTTCCTTCCCTTCAAATCTAAGCTGGCCCTGAGACTTGTGTTTGGCCAGAGGAACGATGCTCTGAGACCTCTAAGGCTAGAGTGTAAAAGCCTTGAAGCTTCTGTCTGAATCTATTATGATGCTCATTCTTATGAAGTTTTATATAGCCTCCCCTTAATCCTTACCACTTTCATATTAATTAGTACTTAATGTACTAATTAATATGAAGTACTAATTAATATGAAACCATGTATGAACTACTGCAAACCATGTATGAACTACTGTATGCATAACTAGAAACCATGTATACAGTGAGGGACAAAACAAATAAGGTTGCTGCCCTCAGAAAGCTCTTGATTGATTCCCTCGATACCATCTCTCCTAGGCAACCTTTTAAATTTCCCTATTCTATTTTCTCATCAAGGCTGGGCAAGACCTTAAAAACCCACACCCTGGCTTGTGCATAGCCAGCTGATTGATGTTCTTCCTAATCCTGGACTCTTCACCTCCCAGTTCACTTTGAATGTTACCACTCACCACCAAATTCATCATCTTAAAATTCCATTAAATCTTGCCATTTTCATGTTAAGAGTCCTAAGTGGTACATCAGATGAGTGTATAGGCTTCATAAGGAATAGGTGAACTCAGAAGGAGTTGACTAATTAGAAACCACTGAAATGATTTGAGGTTTTCAGTGAGGTCAGGATCATGGAAATCATTCAGCACAAGAGCTAAAATATTGGGAGACAGAGAGTATATGTTTTAATTTGATAGCAACAGAGTAGAGAAGTCCCAGTAATGACAAGGTCCAGATCCAGAGGGTAGCCAAGTAGTATGTGGCTGAAGTTGAATGGGACCAAAGCCATTGAAATTTGAAAAGTTAGGAGGTGAGAGATAGCAGGTATTGTGTGGGTCATCCACAAAGACATCAGTCTTTATTTTTAAAAATGCCCTACATGACAATGAAACTTGAAGTATAGAGTAGGATTATGAGTAAAGTACTAGGAATCTCAGATAAATGTGGGGAAATGACCCTGGCAAATCTCCAAGATGGTAGAGTAGAATCAGCTTTCAAAGAAGAGAGAAAAGTAATGATTTAGGAGAAGCTCTGGGAAACTAGAATTTGAACCTCTTTACTCCCAGGCTTATGATTAGTGAGGTGTTCGTTCTTTTGTTCCATAGTTTTTATGAGCTCAATATATGCAAAAACTATGGATTGAGATGTGAGAGGAAAAAGCAGCCTTCCCTTAGGATACCACTTAGATCCAGCAGTCGCTTGGAACCAGACCCTACAGAGCAGTGCTTATATATAAAATTTCTCACACAAACAGATTTTCTCACACAAACAGATTTTCACTGCCACTTTATTGATCACCCTTATGAGAATTCAATTTCACAACCATTGTTTACATGAAAAAAAAAATCAAGAGCCATTTAGGGAAAACAAAGTAATTGCTATTATTGCCAATCCATTGCTTGTTGACATTTTTGGTAGCTACCTATTAAGGTGGCTATCTTGTGATTTTGCTCTTTCTCTACCTCCTGTCAGTTTTGCTGACAGTTGAGTCTTCAATTTTACCACCCTCAGAGGGCAAATATTAGAAAAAGAAGAGATAATAAAGAAACAATGTTACTCCGCATCGTCTAGCCCTTGGTATGCTCCTTTCAGATCTCTTGTCTGATTTGTTACTCATAACATGCCTGAAACTTCACTAGCATGAGTCACTTGGTAGAAATGTTGAAACACAGACTATGAGGCCCCATTCCCAGAAATTCTGCTTCAGTAGGTCTGGGAGTAAGGCCAAAGACTTTACATTTCTAACAAGTTCTCAGGTGATATTGATGCTGCCAGTTGAAGAACCCCAAATTTTTCTTTTGATTTCCTCTTTGACCCATTTGTTGTTCAAGGGTATGTTGTTTAATTTGCACATATTTGTGAATTTTACAGTTTGTCTTTCTGCTACTGATTTTTAGTTTCACTTCACTAGGGTAAGAAGAGGTACTTGGTATGATTTTAATCTTCAAAAAGTTTTGTTAAGGTTTGTTTTGTGACCTACATCTGATCTATACTGGAGAATGCTCTGGTGTGCTCAAGATGAATGTGTATTTTGCTGCTGATGGGTGGAATGTCCTGAATATGTCTGTAAGGTCCATTTTGTCTATAGTGTTATTCAATTCCTCTGATTCCTTATTGATCTTCTGTCTCAGTGTTATACACATTATCGAAAATAGGGTATTGAAATCTCCTATTATTTATGTGTTGCTGTCTGTTATCCCTTCAGTTCTGTCAAGGTTTGCTTTATATATTTGGGTGCTCTGATCTCAAGTGAATCTATATTTGTAATTGTTATATCTCCTTGGTGGATTGATCCTCTTATTCATTATGTATTGTCTTCCTTTGTTTCTTGCGACCATTTCTGATTTAAAGACCATTTGTCTGATATCAGTACAACCACCCTTGCTCTCTGATGGTTATAATTTGTACAGATTATCTTTTTCCATTCTTTAACTTTCAGCATATGTGTGTCTTTTATATAAAGTGAGTCTCTTGTAGATAGCATATAGTTGGATTTTTTTTTTTTAATCCATTCAGTTGCTCTACATTTTTTGATTGGGGAGTTTAATTCATTTACATTTAAATTAATTAGTGATAGAGAAGGACTTATTGCTATTTGTTAATTATTTTCTGTCATAGTTTTTTTGTCCCTCTTGTTATCTTTCTTTGTGTTTGTTGATTTTTTTTTGTAGTGATATGCTTTTATTATTTTCTCATTTTCTTTTGTTCATCTTCTATAGTTATTTTCTTTGTGGTTACCATGGGGCTTATGTAAAATGTCTTATAATTTAAGTGGAAAACTTAAATTGCATACAAAACTACTTTTGTTGCCCCTCATTGTATATGATACAATTGTATATAATAAATTGCTTCTCTCTTTTTGCTTTAAAAATCTCTTTGTCTTTGTGTACAAATTGATTATAATGTATTTCAATAAATCTCTTTAGTTTCCTCTTAGTCAAAGCCCTTTGTGCCTTTTGAATTTGGATATACAGTTTCTTCCCTAGGTTTTGGAAGTTTTGGGCTATTATTACTTCAAATAAGTTTGCTGTTCCTTTTCTTTCTCTTTTCCTTCTATGACTCTCAAAATGCATATATTGGTCCACTTTATAGTGTAGTATCGCATAAGTCTCTTAGGCTTTCTTCATTCTTTTTTATTCTTTTTTTCTTATTGCTTCTCTCATAATAAGATAATTTAAATTACCTGTCTTTGACTTTGCTGATTCTTTTGCTTGATCAAGTCTGTGTTTGAACCTTTTTGGTGAATTTAAAAATTCAGTTTTTGTTTTCTTTAGCTTCAAAATTTTTGCTTTGTCAATTTTTTTTAACATTTTCTATTTGTTTTGTTGATAGTCTCGTTTTGTTTTGTATCATTTTCTTGAACTCACTGAGAATTTTTATAACAATAATTTTGAACTTTTTGTCAGGTAATTCATATACTTCTGCTTCTTTAGGGTAGATTTCTGGAGATTTATTATGTTTCTTTGATTGGGACATATTTTCCTGTTTCTCCATGTGCCTTGCACTTTGTGTTGGTATTCTTGCATTCGAATAAACAACCACCTCTCCTAGTCTTTACAGACTAACTTCTTACAGGGAAAAACCTTCACTAATCAGTCCAGCCAGATATTCTGGGGGCCTCTCAAGACTTTTCGTAGAATGCATTTATTTCTAGACTTGTGCTAAATTCCCAATTAGAGAAATTTGTCAGTTTTATTTTTTAGGAGCTTGTAATCTCTTACTTTATCTGACGTTTGTCTGCAGTACGAAAGGTTCTCTGGAGAGGTCTCAAGCCACCGAGGTCTTGTTCTCAGAGGCCCCCAGGCTCCTAGAGTGTGCTGGGTTCTATGAGTACTCTGAGTCAGGAAGGATAAAAAACAGGCAGCTCCCTGCAAACCCAGGACATTGGGTGCACATTTCACTCTTCTCCTCGCTCCTGAGGGAGAGGCTGCTAAACTACATCAGCTTCTCTCTGCTGTACTATGGGTCCTCTTGAACAGAAGAAAGCTGCCCAGCTCTCTTTTATCATGGGACACCAGGCATCTACAGTATTCTAGGTCCCATTAGTGCTCCAAGACAGGTGAGAATGAAACCAGTCCCATGGACAATTCCCCAAAATTCTGGAACACTGGACAAATGCTTCGACATTTTTCCTTCAGGGAGATGCTAGAAGTTGGGGATTTTCTTCTACTTGTACCATGCTGAACTTAGGAGAGGAATTACCACAAGTGAATGCCCTGCATTTTCCTTAGATGCGGATCTGGCTAGTTTTGTGCTCATCTGAAGTACAGGTGCCTCGCAACTCTTTTCTGGATTTCTCATAAGGGAACTGGTCCATGTGTTGTTGAATTGTTGTCTGTATTGGGGGAAAGAGGTCTGGGGCTTCTTATTCTGACATCTTGCTGACATCAAGGATTGAGCCTTTTATCATGTTTATTCAGCCTTAATGTTCCTACTTCATTGAAATGCTTATTTCTTTTTCCAGTTCACTTAATATATTAAAACTGCAATTTCCTCATCTATTAAATGCAGAAAAAATGTTTTGTTTTTTTTTTTCTTACAGATGTCTATATGACTAAAACTTACTTTAAAACAATGGTTTCTGAATACCATCTTTGGAAGGTGCCTAGTTAGTGAAGTCAGAATTGAAGAAAGGTAGGAAAGGAGAAGGTGATAACATTCAAATCATCCACCACTTGCAACCTAAACAACAATTCAACAGGTCTGAGGTGGAGATGAGGACTAATGTGACAAGAATTTATATTGTAAAGCTCCTTACATGATGTTCTCACAGCCAGGAAAGTTTGAGTCTCACAGTTCTATATGGGTGCAAACTGTGTTTAAGTTGAGGTGACTATCAGTACTGTTGAGAATGTGTAATTAACTGCAGTGTTTGCAGAAATCAGAGTGGAGAAACTACTAAAGATGTGTTCTAAGGACCCTATATATTTCTGCACAGATGATTTTAAACATTCAAATCAATGAGAGATTTTTAAAATTATTTTGTAGGGTCAATAAATATATACTTTGCAACTGTAGGTTTGTGGGTTTTTTTGTGTGGGTTTTTTTTTGACAGTTATGGAATAATTAGCACTTAGCATAATTCTTGGCATGTAATAGGTCCTCTAGACATGTTAGCTGATTTAATGAGTATGATGCTAAAATGTGGGAGCAGTTGTCTGAGATTAGCTGTCTAAGCAATATCACTGAAATTTAGCAATCTATCCATTCTACCAATCAACAGATATTTCCTGAATGCCTCATATTGCAAGGCATTCTGTTGGCATCTTGTTGAGTAGTGAATCCTGAAGGCATGGATCCATCAGCTAATTAAGGAAGATAAGATGTGTGCCAAACAAAAAGCTGTAGAGTAGAAATAAGCGCTGTGATAGAAATTGGATAACGACCTGTGGGATTCCAGAGAAAGATAAAATTGCATCTGACTGGTGTGTCAGGGAAGCTTCCTTAAGGAAGTAGCTTTGGAGAAATTTGATGATGAGGAGTTTAAACAGAGGGCATTCCAAGATCAGGAGTGAGAATTAACAAAAATGCATAGAGAAATGCAAAGACATATCTGACCACAGACATGCCTGACTGATGAGCAGAATTAATACCATTATAAGGTACTTGCAAGATGAGCAAGAATTTGGCTGGGGGAAGTGTGTTAGTGTACCTACACAAAATAGGTGGTCCTGTCAAATTGGAAAATCTGAGGAGATTTTAATAAAGACATAGCTTACAAAGGTATGGCCTAGGGGATAGAGCGGTACCCTGGGGCTCATAATACCTGGGAGCTATCAACACCACTCCCCTCCACTCCATGGATCTAAAAGGACATGAGGAGAGAGTGATTTTCAGAGAGAGAGTAAGAGAGAGAGAGAACGAAAGAGAGAGAGAAGGGAGAGAGAAGGGAGAGAGAAGGGAGAGAGAGAGAGATTGAGGAATCTGAGATATTCTTGTAGGAACCAAACTGGGGAAATAAATGCCCCAGCCTCACTCCCTTACCTCCCTCGGTCTCCTGCCAGTGCCTTCTTTTAGCTGAAGCCAGAAGACATGTGTGTGTATTGATACAACTAAACCTTAGGGGAAAATAATTATATGTTGACTAAAATGACCAGAGTGTAGAAAAATACCCCTAATTCTTATCATCTCATTATAAGTCTATATCTATTTTCTCCAGAATATTTCACAAAACTTTCCTCACTGTTTAGAATGCATTTCATCTTTTGCTCTTTAAATTACTTTTTAATCATAATTATTGTTATCACCCAAAATGACCCTGCTTAAAATTAACTTGTGCATTGTTGGAGGTTTTGTGTGTACTTGTGGCCTACTTTCCAGTTGTTTGAAATCTCAAAGCACTTCCTAATGACAACAAAGGGGAGGTAATTATAGCCTACCACTCAGCATCATAAGCATAAAGCATTTTCGATTATGGGATCGTTATATGCATATGACAACAAATAGAATGTCCTCTGTATAGATGAGAGAAACCACAAAACATCTCTTGGGAATCAGCAAGAAAATATAGTAGTCCAAGGTTCCCACTCATATGTCAAATTAACTAGGATATTAATGACTCCTGATGGGGTAGAAAGATGTAATCGCCACTGTGACATTTATGAAGTATTTTTCTTAGGGCAAGTCATTTACTTAGAGTAGAATTTTTGGTGTCTATGGTCTTAGTAAGCTCAGCTCCCTTTTCTCTACCTCCTTTCAGTGACAGATTTTGTTAACCAGACGACAGAGGTGAGCACATAACCCAAGGCTGAGCCAATTATGTCATGTCCCATCCTACAACCACAGTGACCTTTGGGTCCAGGCACTTTTTATGAAAGAGCGGGCAGGGAAATGTATATCTATTACACTGCTTGGCTGTAAGGCTCTAAGAATGTGATTGCAGCTTCCAGCCACATGTCATGCTCCACGTGAATAGAGGAAGAACCCTGAGAGGACAGAGCCAATGTTCAGAGAAGAGATGAGAGAGCACACCAGGGGAGCTAGGCCCGGCTCTCCAGAGCTTCCCCAGTTAGGGGGGGCTGCTTTCTTGCATCTCATCTTCAGGTTCTATGTACCACTCATGTCTCTTTCCTGTAAATCTGTTTTGGTGAACCTGTTCGGAGTTGTTTCTGCTACTTCCAACTGAAAGAGTCCTGCCTGATACTGTGTGGATCTTGCCAGGACTGTGCCAGCCTTTGGCATTTGCCCTTGCTCTTCTCTTTGCTTAAAATGCCCTCTTCAGAAACTTCATGCCTCCCTCCCTGTCTTCCTTCAGGTTTGGACTCAAATGTCACCTTCTCAGTGAGGCCTTCCTGATCATTCTCTCTGAACTGGATTCAAGTGCTCTTTACCATCTTTTCCTATCAATATCTATTGTCCCACATACATTACCTAATGATCTTGTTGATTATCTCTCTCCTAAACTAGAATGTAGGTAGAGATGTTTTGTCCCTGCACATCCCCAGTGCCTGGAGAAGGCATAGATGTAGATATCAAAGACAGATAAACATTTGTTAAATAAGTGGACAAATGAATGTTAAACATATTTTTTATACCAGACACTGTGCTCAGAGTTTGGCATGTGGAACTTTAACTAACACATTTATTCTTTGCTTTTTTTGATCCAAGATGATATCATGGATGAGATACATCATATTGATGCCATGAAGTCATGAAGATAGTCACCTCCATGAGGGCAATGACCATATCTGCCTTTTTTAATCACTGATCTTCATTGCCAAATATAATGCTTGGAACCTGTAATACAGGTAAGGATACCCTATATCTTAAATATAGGAATATGAACTATACCTCATACCTTAAACCTATCCGTGCTCCCCTTACATTAAGGATTTGATATAACCTAATGGACACAGAAAACAATATAGCTGTCAAGCCTCCTCTTTGGGGTTTGCCACTGGACAGCTTTGTGAAAAACGCATCTATTTCTAGCCATTGCATTGTACTAACTTCCCTATCTGCCCGTCTTCTTCTTATTTCTTTTCTCCCCCATTCTTAAATCATATTATTGTGTCCTTGTAAGCCACCTTGAATCCTTTCTGGTACAAGGCGGAGAATAAGTTAATTAATTCACAGATTGATTTAATTCTCAGAGCAACTCAGTGAGGTAGGTATTAGTTCTCTCATTACATGGGAAAGGAAACTGAGCCTCAGAGATATGCAGTTTCTCCAAGGTCATACAACTGGTAAGTGCCAGCATCAGGATTCAGATCCACAACAATGCATCTCTATAGCAGCCGATACCGCACCCTCTTTAAGATCTGTAAAGTCTTAGAGGAGGTAGATGGGGTAAAGGGGATTCAAATATGGGGGTGGTAAGGGTAGGGTGAAGTGGGTAAAGGGGATCAAATATGTGGTAGCTGAAGGAAACTGGATTTTGGGTGGTAAAACCAAAACACAATAGAATATACGGATGACGAATTATAATGTACACATGAAAATTATGTAATTGTATTAACCAATGTTACCCCAATAAACTTAATTTTTAAACGTTAATAAAAAGCAAAACGATCTGTAAAGTCTCATAACTGTCTTGAGCTGAGGGCTAGTAGAAATGATATTGGACAAGGAAGCAGGAAACTAGGTATCAACTCCAGACTTTTCTCCAGACTTTTTTAGGCCAATATGTCCTTGGGGTGTTACATATTTGCTAAATCTCAGTTTCCCCACTATTCAATGAGAATGGCAATGCGTCTCCCTTCCATACTGTTAAGAGTTCCACCTAGGCACCTCCACTGGAGAAGGAGCCTGCCTGAGAAATAGTGGTCAGAGCTCCAGAATAGGGACCCTAATTCAGAACCAGCAAGTCATGTCTAAAGGACAGCACTCTTAGGCCCACTATCATTTGCTATGCACAACAAATGAAGTTGAACAGTGATCACAAACTTTGTTTGACATGATTCCAATTGCCTTATATGCCAGAGGCATAAAAACATCAGTGTCTCATAAAGTTGGGAGGTTTTAGGCATAGTGGACAGAGAAGAGGCTTAGACATACTTGGGGTAAAGTTGGCCCGGTCTGTCTCCTGGTCTGTCTGTTGTGCTTTGTGATTTTGACAGACTTAAGTTTTCTGAGTTTTACCTCTTCTATATATCAAGATGTACAGGATATCCAGACACAATATTTACTACCCATATATTCACATTTTGGATGCATTTGAAAATGAAGTCTTTAAGAGTGGTCCCATGCTCAGTAGCTAGGCTTTTTTTGGTCATGTGCTTTTTCTTCTCAAATTTCTTTTGCAAGGGTCATACTATTCTTAGGACTTCTTAGGAATTGGCCAGGTTCTTGTAGAAAAACAGATTCTTCGAGATTTTAATTTGAGAAGGGTATTACCAATATTCTTCCCCAAAACATATGTCTCTGAGGGAGCTTATATGGGACTGAGGCCAAAGATTCATCCCCCTCTTCTTTCATTTATTCATTTAGTCATACCACAAATTTGCTGAGTATCTTCTCTGTGCTGTCACCATATCTGACATGGAAAAATAAAGCTTTGCTCTAGAGAGGCTCACATTTTAATGGGGGACAGAGTCAGGCCTATAAGAAACGCTATTACTGGTGGCATAATGAAAAGATGGAGAGGGTCTTAGAAGGCACAGAAAAGCCTCAGTTGGAGATGTGTAATCTGAGGAACCCTTTAGTGACACAGTACCTTTATACCTGGGCCTGGTTCTAGCTTTCGGACTTAAGAGAACATTTGCTGTCTGTGTGGGGAGTCTCTTGACCTTAAAGATAGTCAATGGTTTTTCCCATCCCCTTGACATTGCTGTCAGAATGAAGCCATGCAATTCATCTGGTCTTGATGCTTTGTCAATTTTTAATGGTCCTAATTGTCTTATTATCTGCTTCTTTGCAATAGTAAAGCCCTTTACTACTTAATTTTCCCTTTGGGGCAGTGGCGGGGGAGGGGGGCTGTATATTCATAGAATCATTACTTTCTCTGTCCTTTGTATTAAAGGAAAAAGAAAGGAGACATACATTGGCCCATGCCACAGAAGCCCCAGATACACCTACTGTACACTGTTCACTAGCCCCATGAATAGACTGCTAAAATCCTAGGACTGCTATAGGTTAGCCCCTCATTTTCAACATGTGGAACCTGAAATCAGGAGACGTGGAATGATTCAGTTGGGGTCTCTTGATTTCCACTTCCCACCACACCAGCCCATTTTCTCTGAAACTCCAGGGCTCAACACAACTGCTCTCTCCAAGCACTGTGTCTACTGTGACCAATTGGTTCCCATCTTGCCCAATTCACCCTTTTCTTGTTGCTTCTTACTGAGCATGTAGGGGATACGAGGCACCGTTATAACTTCTTTGTGTTGCTTCCTTTAGATCACAAATGTACCTTTGAGACTTGCCGAAATAATGCAATTGCAAAGAAATACTTTAAAGAAACCACACTGAAGAGCCCAATGATATCTTCTTGGACTAACGAATCAATTTGGTCACTCAAGAGAAGGCAGCACACCATTTGCAGAACAGGACCACCATGGAGCCTACAACTCTCACCCAATCTGTCCGCTGAACCTTAGATTCGTAAGATCAAATGCCAGTTGAGTGTCTCACCCTCCCTCTCTCTATTAAAGTAGCACTATCCACCCACTTGACCAAACCAAAAGCACTCTAGATATCTGACCTACTCCAATACTGAATTTGTTTTCAAGTGTGGGTAATACAATCTTTAATCACCTCTATTCTGATTGGTAGATACTCCTACTTGGAAAAGGTATGTGGTATGCCCAAGTTTACACAGAAGCTAAGAAGGATAGTGATGATTCAAATCCAGGTGTTAACCTAGTTTCTTCCCCTCTATCATTCAGAAAAAGAAATAAAAGTTTCCTGGAGAATGACAGCCTCCTTCTTTTTGCCACTCATTTAATTTCTCTGAGTTAATTTCTCTGAACAGCAGGTTATTTTTCTATTTAAAAAAAAAAAAAGGATAATATTTTCTCTGCTTACTTTACACTAAAAATAAAATCAAATTACATGGAAATAATGCTTTGTATACTTTAAAAATATTTTTTCTATCAATTCTAAACAAACATCCACGTATTTATTTTGTTACTAGAAGAGAAAGGCAGGATCTAATACTATAAATCAAACATCGAATCTCAAAATGTTGACAGTTGGCAATTTAGGAACAAATTAGAGCCCCAAATCAAAAATAAATGAAAAGCATTTATAAGCTACATGATCTGGAAAATGGGAAGAGAGAGCAGATTTTTAAAAAGAGAAGTAACAATTGACAATAATTACAAGACAGAAATGACGTGTTAATAGCATACCACAGAGAATAGGAATACTGGTGTTTTCATTGGAGGATTATTTTTCTTAATTTAACACAATCTCAGTGGACTAATGTAAAGGGGAAGGGTCTGACTGTTAAGAAGAAGGAAAATAAGAATAAGAAGGAAAAACACAAACAGAAATAAAACTACATTATTGTGCATTGCAAATTCAGAGTCAAACATAATTCCAGATGCAGGATCAAACTGATGGGAGAATGGGCTTTCTGGGAAGGAGAAAACTATTACTTCATTCAAAACTGACAAACCAAATCTCTCAGGCAATGCAGAGGACCCTTCCCTTCTAGCATGTTGTGGACCTCAGTTTCCATACAAACTCCTTTATGGCTTTCTTTGTGGCTGTTTTGCTTGGGTTACCTTTTCTTATTTCAATAGCCTGGGTTCAGAATACTTGGATTTTAATCCCAGTTCTGCAACTAGCAATCTATGTAACTTCTGGCAAATAATATATTATTCTGAAGATTTGTGCTCATCTATGAAGTGGTCATGCTAGAACCTTTCTACTGATATCTCAATATTGGCATAGTGGTTAAAAGAATAGATTCTATAGCAAGGCTGCCTGGGTTTGAATTTTAGCTACAACGGCAGCCTTGAGCAACTGACATAAATTCTTTGGCCTCAGTTTCTTCATCTGTAAATTGAGGGTGCCTAAAGCACCTATATCATTGAGTCGTTATAGGGATTGACTGAATTAATACCTCAGATAATTACTGAGGAAAATCCTTAGAGCAGTGTCTGATACTTATTAAATGCATAAGCGTGTTCATTATTATTGACCACATGTGAAAGAAATTTAAAGCTATTAAAAGCCCTGACAAACATGAGACAGTGAAAAGAAAAAAAATATTCCTCGGATCAGTGACCTTTGGTATATGCCACCATCACTTTGATTTATGCTGAAGCCACATTGCGCTCCTGGGTATTACCAGTTGATCAAGGAATTAATTCTAGAGAGAGGTAGAGAGGAGAAAAACAAAACGGTGGAAAATATGAATGGAAAAAGAAAAGGTTACTTGGAAGGTGTTAAATGCTTCACTTTCTGAAGGAAGCATTGTCAAGAAAGAAAAAAAAAAGAAAAAAGAAAAAAAAAGAAAAAGAAAAGAAAAAAAGATGGATTAAGCTGTGACATCAGACTGCCTAGGTTTATATAGTCAGCTACGCCATTTACAGGAGGCCGTGTGGCCTTAGGCAAGTGACTTCACCTAACTCTAAGACTACTTACCTTTTCATAAATAAGAATAATGATAAATATTTAGCTATTGGATTTCACGAAGAGTAAATGAAATACCTACTTAGAACACTATTGAACACTTATCACAGCAACTATTAGTAGATATTATTCCCAACTCTGAAATATGCCAAATATTGCTCATGGTATTATACAGGTAAACTATTAAAAGTCTCAGTACAACCAGCTGAAGAGAACAGAGCTAAGTAAATCTCTTGATTTACCTGGAAACCAAGAGCTAATGAGAAACAGAGCTAGGACTCAAATCCAACTCTTTCTGGTTCCCAAGGCGCATGCTCCACTGCCTCCCAAAGTAATGGCCAAGTGCAAATCACATTCTTTCTACTGCATAGGACATTGCTTAACACCCCCAAATAGAACTTATGCATACATTAAAGAGATGCAGCATTTTTTATGAGCCCAGGTTGTTGTTTTAAAGCCAAATTCGAACAGCGAATAAAAATCAAAGCAACTATGATTTATTCACTGCTGGGTACTCTACATACATCATATCTGCATCATCACTGTTATTATTTTATTGATTACATGTTATTAGTCTGCTTCTGTGCTAATGTTTTCTATCTGTGCTTTTCAAATATTGAACTGAATAAGAATCACTGGGAGACCTTGTTAAAATGCAGATTCTGATTCAGTAGGTCTAGGCATAGCCTGTGATTCTATATTTATAATCAGCTCCCAGCTAATACTAATGCTGCTATTTTGTAAACCTTAATGGGATTAGCAAGATTTTATAGGATTTTCTTATTCAATCCTTACATTCATGTTGTTACAAAAAATTAGAGGCACTACTGAGCTCATTTTACTGAAGAAGAGACTGAGGCTCAAAGAGTTTATGTGTCCTGCCTCAGGATAGAGTGAATAGGAGACAGAACCAGAATTCGATTTGTCATGCATGTATTTATATACATGGTAGTATATAAATAATCTGCTTAATGATTTAGCATTTAAACTTTTCACATTTATTTTACAAATTTCCATTAGACAAGTATTCATATGTATTTTTGAAAATCTAATTGGACATCAAAAGATGATAAACATACATTGTTGCCCTCTATAAAACCAGTCTAATTGGAAGCAAGAGAGATAAACAAGTTCTTAAAAGATAATATGAAGATAATCAGTGCTGAAAGGGCGCAGAAAATCAAGGACTTCAATAAGGTCTCATGGGAGATACAACTGGTACAGCCTTTCTGGTGGGTAATGTAGTTATATATCAAATTTGAAAATATGTGTATAGATTTACACAGCTATTTCACTTCTAGACATTTGTCCTAGAAAAAGATTAAAAAGTGAAGAAAGATACACATATAAAGATATTCACTGCAGTATTATTTAAGATAGTAAACAATTGAATACAATTGAATTCAATATCCATTGAAATAAAATGAGGTAAGTTATTGAGCATCTCTATTATGGAACACCATAGATTTAGAAGAATAAACTAAACCAAATCTATATGAATTGACATGGATAATTATCCATACTATATTTTTATGTGGATTAAAATTTAAAAAAGCATGTTACTGAACAGTACATTGGTAAGACTACTTATATAATGAATACTTATATAACTATATACTTATATAATACTGATAAAACTATGATATGTACAGTGTGCTTTATATACATGGTGCTTCTCAGGGGTTGAAATAAATGTAAAGGCTTTCCTTTTCTCTTTTTTGTAGTTCTAGTCAAGATTTTACCAAGTGGACATACCGTTTGTAAAGCCGACAATAACTACAAGGACAGTGCTGTGGTGGGATGAAACAGCCACTGTCAGAAATGTAATATCTGAGGGTGTTCAGAATGATACTGCAAATAAGAGGCAGGAACTCTTCTCTCTGCCTGACCGGGGTTGGAAAGCTCTGCACAGATGTGATCTCTCAGAGCTAGAAGATTGAGTAGGATTCCTTTAGAAGGCAAAGAGAGGAAAAAGTACTCAAGATTAGAGGAACAATTTAGGCATATCACTGTGATTTAGAGAAAACCAAATGAACAGATATGGGTCCTGTCTGCTCTCAAGAGCTCCCAAGCGATGTGAGAAGCCAATTCACACATTAGAGAATTCATGACTAAAAGCAAGCAATGTAGGTGTTTAGCGGAGTAATGTGGATTTGGACAAGTACTTTTCTGGGTAAGAGTATTTAGTTCTTTCTACAGGGGTTCTCGTTTTTCCTCAGCCCAACACATGTGAATGACAGAACACATTTCATCATAATAGTGACATGGAAAGGTAGTAATTCACGAGGAATTTGGGGGCTGGGCATGTCGGTTTCCTCTTGATAACTCCTTCCACAGAAAGACATTCTAGAAGTGAATTCTTGAGGAGTATTGAGTACAAAAGGTTGGCTGGAAAAGCTATTTGGTTTGTAGAAGTTTATAGGATTTATGCTGAGTGAAAAATTGGCATCAGGTCCCTCTCCAACACTAGATCCCTCTCCAAGAGTAACCATGAATAATACATATGAAATCCTCTTTGATTCCCCAAATTGCCTACCCATTTTATTGTTGTATTCAAATAAATTATAACGTAAATGTAATTTAAAGATAAAAATGTTAAAAAAGATCATTTTTCTTCTACCAATTTAACTTTATATACTCTATATTGATTCTTTGTTCATAAGCATTTATTTTTTAAAATAGTAATAATATGTATATATTCTGTTCATAGATTTTTATTAACATTATAGATACATATTTCCATGTAAAAACATAGTCCATAATTGAAATTTTAATGACTGCATTATATTTCACTGAATTAATATATCATATTTTCCCAGTTGTTAGACATTTAAGCTGCAATGAGTAACATGATATATATCTTTTTACATTTAAAAAGTTTATTTCTCTATAATAAATTCCCCAGAGACAAACTGAGTCAAAGATGATAATCATTTTTGTCTCTCAAAAAGGCCAGCTTTCCATGACCATTTACCACATGTGTATAACCAGTTTTATCACAATGTCACTAGTACTTGGTATTATTGTTTTAAATAAAACATTTCCTAATTTTAAAGAATGTAAAACTTGGACTTGCTATGGTGTGATTTTTAAGGTCTTTAATTACAAGGGCTAGTGAATCTTTTATTTTGTGTTAGTGTAGAGCTTATGAGAGCTTATTAGGTTACAGGCTTCTGCATGCTTGTATACTTGGGCAAGTTGTTTAATTTATTTATACTTCTTATCCATGGAATGGGGATAATAATAGTGTTTAACTGTTTAGATTGTTGTGAGATTTAAAAAGTTAATACATTTTAAAGCACCTAGAATGTTGCCTGGTACACAATAAACTCAACATATGTTACATGTTGTTATTTTTATTATTGTTATCAGTAGGATAAGTAGTGATATTATACAGACAGAAGCAAAGAAGTACATTTCTATTTCCTATTATGAGAGTTTATAGTTCAAGTCACTTGGGATATAAATTTTTTCTCTAATTTATTTACACATATACCTTTTACATATATATTATTTATATATTTACATATTATTGCTTTAATTATTATTAAGACCATGTAGCTACCTATTGATATATAATTTCAAGGAGGCATTTCATCTCTCTGTCTTTATTTCTTCATGTACCACATATGAGAATGGACATACCTTACAAGACTTTTGTGAGGATTTGAAATAATATACATAATTAAATAGGGACATTTTAATCCTCTTAGAGGCTAATGTAAGATTTACCTTAGGAAGAGGGCCTCCTTTGTTCAGAAATTGCCTTAATAAGTCCACTTGAGGTAGGCTTCAAGGCTTTAAGAAAGGAAATAATTCTTCATGATATAAGGAAGAAATATGTTTCTGAGAAGGAGAGAGGAGAGTAATAGGAGTAGGGGACAAAAAGATGGCAAAGGCTTTGCAGTGATATCCTGTGTCACCCTCATTATCCCTAAAGTTCCTATAAACACAATATATGTGGAGTAAATTCCTTTTAGAGGAAGGACTGAGTTTGACATGGGACATTACAAATAGAGCCTCAAGGAAACTCAGGTGACCAGAGCTTAGTTAAGGAGCACAAGGAGAAGAATGACATCAGATTAATGAGATTTCTCCCTTTAAAGTTTTGGTCACCCCTAAGCCATAGAATTAGGGAGATCTTAGAGTGCAGGTAGCCCTCAGTTAGCATCAGGATTATATGGATACAATAAGTGCCTGGTGCACAGGAATTGCTCAGTAAATTGTAGCATAATTTTTCAGAACGTAAATATTTTTTATGCTTCAGAGTTAACTATGCATTTTCACATTCATCATCTCATTTAATCTCATTTAATCTTCATAACAATTTCCTTTGGCATATTTGGGTAAATATTTTTCTCAATCTGTTGTTTTTTTTATTTCAGTTATGATAGTTTTTCATTGTACATACATTTCAAAATTATATGTAATTGAATATGTCAATCTTTTCTTCATGATTTCTTCTATTACTTCAAATCTTAGAAAGCTATCATTTCTCCAAGAAACTGGGAAGTATTCAATTGTATTTACTACTAGTCATCTGAAGACTTTTTCATCTTTTATGAAAAATTTACCTCTACATGATGCATTCATGAAGGCAAATATATGTGGACAGATTACATTTAGTGAACCATAAAATTTTATAATAGTTAAGTGATTTACATTATATATGTGT